AAGGCTGATGTGTATTTGATGTTGAACGCATTGCGTTTGACCAAATCCCTTAGTTTCCAAGAGAACTTGGATAATGCGGAAGAAATGACCCAAAACAATTACGTTTGTCAGTTGATATTTTCAGTGATGCTGAAATAGTATTTACACGAGAGATATCTCGAGGAAGAGAAAGAATTGGTCAGACTCTTGGTTGGATTGCCGAGGTCTTTTGGTGAAAATGAGAACTATTCACGAAAAAGAGTGGAAATCGTTATGTAATTGATCATTTCCGACTGGGAAACCTTCACTGAGGATTTGTGCTTTGTAAACAGAGTGCTCTATTTGTTGCGAACAAATCCACGTGCGTTGAACAGGAATTTCCGGAAGGATTTTCGTGTCTATGAGGACGAGTCCAAGTTGCATAAGGCTAATTTACAAGATATTTTGCACAGCAAACAAATAAAATTCACCAAAGAAGCAGTGGACCAACTGAAAACATTCGGACAATTTCACCAACGGAATTGCTTTTATAACATTCTTGAACAGGTTTATTCCAGTCCCAGCTTGGACGAGCTATGGAGTTTTACACAGAACTCGACAGCTCAGAAATGGAATTGGCAGATAGAGACATGTTCATGAATAGTATTCCAGGAACTACCGAACTATCATTGCGGAAGGCATTGTTACCTGACCAACGGTTGCACAACACATAAACATCGCGGTTCGGCAATCGAACCGGTCAAACTGAAGTAGCCCAAGACAAGCGAAATGGCGCGAATGCATACAACGAAGCAAACAATCCGAATTATCATTACACTATCAACGACAGTGACATGGTTGCACAAACTTAGATGGCCGAATTCCAAAACGATTTCATCATTTCTCCAGCAGTTACGATAGAGGAAGTTTTGGACCGGCATATGAATGAAGTGAATAAGTGATGCAAAGCAGATCGACAAACTACAATTATACACGACAAATTCCCATTTGAAATTTCACCAAATCCTCCATTACTCACATGAAACTACAATTAGTCCGGTCTCGAGGTTGTCGTGGTAGTGGATTTTGGTTGCATTTTATCCCCCAGACTGATCGCAATATTGCGCTCTACTTGGACACTCGTGATCCCCTCCAGTTTACTGACGAGCTAACGAAGAAGAAAAAACTATTGCAAATGTCCTGCAGATATGAGACTATTAGACAATATTTCTGTCCGAATAAAATACCAGTTCCGAATTCCGGTCCATTTGCTCTGCTCCATATGAAAGCATTCGCTCAACAAATGTGTTGTTCATCTGCCGATTTCACGACACCGTTCAATCGGATTACGGACGTGGAAGCTGACATGCATCGAGAGGACATTCGCGGTGGTGTACGCACAGACCGTTTGTCGACCTTACAGACAGAAAATCGCTGTAGATAGGCTAAAGAATGAAATGTGAGCGGCAAAGCAGGCTTTGCAACGTTCGCTCAAATGCTGCTCAATACAAGTAGTGGATGATGAAACCGAGGAGTTGGTACTGGCACAAGTTGTCATCGCCTGTTGATTTCTACCAAGGTAATTGTTCCTGTCGGAATCGGTGGATTATTACTGTGTTTCGTTCAGTTGAATTTAACTTCTGGCGGTGCAAGTATCACACTACGCATTCTGCAATCGTTTGTAGGTTGCGCTCCGTGCGAACGAGATCATGATGAATGCGACTGATTTGAAGTCATTAAACGTCACTGCAGAGAAACTCGAGCCGGCGATTACGCTCTCGTCACTGCAGCATAAGAGTATACTTGAACAGCTTGGAGTTTCCATCTGTCAAGAAGAGAATGAAAAGTTATATACACATTTCAATCTGGTCTCGGAGAAAATGATATGGATTGAGCAAACACCATTGCTCAAAGCTGCCCAGATAAACGTGTTCTTTATGGAAATCATGTTTACCTTTCACCGCCGGACGGCATCACGATTCGATTAGAATGGTGATGAAAAGCATCAACTCTACCGCCCGGCTTTCCCAACTTCGTTTTGATTTCCACATTGTCGCTGATTTACGACTGAGAGAGTTTGATACAGATGTAGTAGCACTGTCAACTCTGCTCGAACAGTTAGCGTACGTCGAGACCAAGACAACACAACAAAGAGTGCATCAGTTGGTCATTGGTTGTACGTTCCCCGAGGTTCAATATAAGTGGCGGTGGGAATTGTGCTACGAACTAGCAACCACGAACGCGCATCAGAATATCTCCCATATGAATGATTGCGATATGAAAATGGAGCTTGGAAAAGTATGGGATGAATACAAAAATGTGCACGAGTGAAAGAAAAGTCAATTTCGGGAGTGTGCAGATTATGTACAGAAGACGGAATCTCCAGTTCCACCGCATCTGCAAACACTGATAGCTGTCCTGATGAGAAGCGTCCAATTGACTCACGGATACCGACACCGACAGATGCGCAACCGTTAGCCTCGCTGTTTCTTCTAAATCCGCGGTCTGATCGAGGAAGACTTTTACAAGTTGACACGGGGGAGGAGAAAACAGCCACAATCGCCATGTTTGCGGTGGCCAAATATTTGGAAGGATACAAAGTGGATATTTTGACCACTTCTGTCGAGTTGTCATTTCCCCAGTCGGAAGAGCAGCGACCGTTGTTTGAATTATTTGGTCTAACCAGAGCACATAACAGTCAAGACAATTGGGACTCTGACAACTGTTATACCGCCGACATTGTCTACGGTTCAGTGGATGACTTCCAATGTCACATCTTGCATCAGGATTTCAGTAGTCGTAGCAGACGTGGAAAACGTACTCATGTGATTGTAGACGAGGTAGACAGTATATAAATTGATCAACAGAACACATCTGTTCGGTTGTCTTCAGTCATACCTGCCATGGATCATTTGAAACCAATATTGGCAGCTATACGGTCGCAAGTGAATCAGGTGGCACAGTGCATATTTGTACACAGTGGGCAATTGTATTACATCGACCGAGAAGTGCGGAATTGGCAATGAGCTGATTGATTTGGCTTTGGTGCCGCTGAATACAACTCCAATAGACTTTATCAAAAAGGCCACTGAGACACATTTGACAAAACACTGCTCCGCATTGAAAATCCGAAAGATGATGACTATCCACGGTTGAATGCTCCGCAACATCTGAAATCGTTCATCAAGGAGCGTCAATTATCCAGGTGGATCAGCAGTGCATTCATCGCCAAATATCAAATGAAGCGAGGTGAAGTCTACATAGTCAAAGCTGGCAAGATGATTCCAATCGATGCGGAAAAATGCTGGAGTTCATCAACCGAATACCGTGTACAGAGATAGTTTACATCAGTTTATTCAAATGAAAGAAAATTTGCCATTGAAACCAGAATCATTAACAACAAACTTCCTGTCGAATTTGGATTTTTTCGAAGATGTAAGAGATCTATTTTCGGATTGACTGGCACACGCTAGAGAACAGTTACCACAGTGACTTGGTCATTATTTCGCCATTTCGATTAAGACGACATTACGAAATACCTTCCGTGGTGAGAACAACATCCACAGACTGGAAAGATGCAGTTACGCGAAGCTGTTTGCTCCAACTGCAAAATGGACGAGGTGTACTATGAATTAACGAATCGATAAATGTGTGCGATGAGTTCAAGCAGCTGTTTCTCGAACTTGGAGTCAAAGACGAGAAGATCAAAGTGTATACGTCCGGGGTGGATTCAGGCATGCGCGGACAAGTTTTACAATCTGTTAAGCTTATTATAGCGACCAATATAGCCGGTCTAGGTGCGAATATAAACCGTCAGACGCAGTGCAAAGTCATGGCGGTACGCACATTTGCGTCACATTCTTACCACAAAATGAATAAGTTGCGAGACAGCATGCGGGACGAACCTCAAGAACTGGAAATAGTGGAACGAGTCAGGTGATTGTACTTAATTCAAAAGGAACAACTATAGGACAACTGCGATTGAAAACAAATACGGTCAATGCGAAGCGACTGGGCATAAACCGACAAGCAGTAGAAAATCTAGTAGCCAAAGACAAGGCCTTCCAACAATATTGCTCCATACTGAACGATACCAATTGCCGCCATCAATGTGCTGTCATTAAAGAAAGGTTTGCCATTTGGTTGAACTTACAGGACTGCGATCCGAATATAAGCGGAGAGACAATCGAGCGAAATTTCACGAAATTCATGGAGTAAATTCTAGCGGATAAGGAGCAGGGACTTCTTATTCGTAACCCGTATTATCAATTGCTAAAAGGAAATGAGCTTTTGAAAATAGGTACATACGAGGAAGCCATAAACGAGTACAGGTCGGCAATCTCGTTGGATGAGGAGTATAGCGAAAATGCTTAATCTTTCAACAGAGGCTAGGCAAAGCTGACATTTCACGGGAAAAATTTGAAAATGAATGTCAGGAAAATTGACAAACCGCTAAACGATTTGCGTCAAGCAAAAGAAAAGCTCCAATCTCGTCTGTCGGAGATCCAATGCGTGGCCGAAATTTACGAATCGGAAAAGAAGTTGATACATTTCGTGTGCAAATACAACCGTTTACAAATACAAATTAACTGCATAGATTCAGTGATTGAATCTAAAACGTGGTAGATGAGTGGGCCAATGAAGATCTCATTTTGGAAAGGAAACTGAAAACCTTGGAGGAATCAATCCCCGCTAAAGATGATCATACTGAACATGCTGAAATTATGGATGAGCTTGAAAAAAGTGGCACTTTGGGAACGTTCACTATCATGAATAAAAATCAGATACGATGGAAATCGGTGATGGCTTTGGCTGCAATTAGACTACGTCAAATAGCTACAGGAGCTGCCCTCACGGTATTCACCATGGGCGTTGGTAGTACCATAGGTATGGGGTTAATTACCGAGGGTTAAGTGACTTTATTTCGGCCGTAAGGGATGGCATAATCACTCGTGAGATCGACTAGAAAGCTTGGGCTATTACCAAATTAACAAGTTCGGCTGTTGCCGTGATCTGTGCTGGTTTTAAAGCAATAAAAGACTGTGCAAAAACATCAGTTGATATGACGAAACAAATATCGAAATTGTGCGTTCGGGGTACCACGGACGTATTGAAAGAAGGCGTGAAATTGGCATACAAAAACGTTAGTCTAGCTGTTGCGGAAACAGTGGGGCAAGGGCTGGGGATGCATTTTGCTGAATTCGCGATCGGGAAAATAATATCGGTCAAAACGGAAGAGCGCTTCAATGACTCCATAAATCAGACAGTTGAAAAGATTTTGGGAAACGAGATGCTTCAAAATTTGTTGAAATGGGACGCTGATCATGAAGATTAGAAGCAAGAGAAGCAATTTTGGAAGAAAACTTCGAATCTGTTCCAGAATGCGAGACCAAAAGTGTACTGAGACAAATCGCTGAGGAGATTGAAATAGGCATGGCAACCGGTTAGTAGGAACATGGAAGGAGTCAAAGACTGTGTTTGGTGCGACAAGCGCATGAACACCACAATCCGGGAAGGTAAAACAATTTGACACATTCGAAAGAAATTATCCTGGAGCACCGGTTGCAATTTGCAGCACCTCCCGACAGGAAAGACACGAATCTTGCAGCACAATCTGCCCGGGTCTACTTGGATGGATTTTGCCATTTTGCAGTATTTGTTTTGGTGATCTGCATGGCGATTCAATCCTACCGATTTTCTGAATAATTTTCAAGTGCGAATTTCTTTGCTGGTATTTTCCAAAAGCAAACATGGCTTTCCGGGCGGCACACGAACTGTTATTGTGTTCTGCACGAAATGGACGTTCTCAGACGTCAAACATTGGTTTATTTACTACGTCTTCCACGTGTTTAAATTCAAATATTTGTTCTTCTATTTAAACACCCCCAGAAACTACATCCTTTGAATCATTTTTTTTCGGTAGATTTTCTGCCATTTAAAGTTCAGCTTCTTGACGAAATGTTTTGAGGTACCGCTTCTTTGTATGATTTGGCTCAGAACCCGATACTGTCATCACCTGGTTTAACTTCTTTACAATATCTGGCACTTTTGTTGTGACAGAATTGTTAACTGTCGGTCATTCGCCCGTGTTGCGCAGGATATTTTCTACGATAAGTTGCTCCGTGAGGTATTTGAACTTTGCTTCAGCCACGTCTCTTTCAATCTCCTCAGCGATTTGTCTCAGTACACTTTTGGTCTCGCATTCTGGAACAGATT